TTTGGGTTGTCCCTTAAATGGAATAGTTTGAATAGCAATAATAATAACAATAGTGAAAATGAGAAAAAATAGGTAATGTACAAAAACAGTGTCAACATATTTACCTTGTAAATATACAGAATGCACCGATATTGGTACTGATGTATTCCTCTCATTTATCCTTCCTATATCCCACAAACTGGGCTCCAATAACAGAAGGCGTGAACTTCAACAAGGGAACTGCAGGTACATGCAAAAAAAATATGAAAAGAAATTAATATTGTGCAATAAAATATATAGATTGTCAGACGCTGATTTACTAAAATAGAGAGGTTGCTGCTATCAAGACAAACATCCTCTGGGAATTTATTTCAGGAAAAGAAGAAAAAGGCTGATCACAGGGTACATACCTGTCAGCTAGGAAGTTACAATACAATATAATGGAGAGGACTGTGCCCACCCCCAAGCAAATATCGCACATCTACATAAATATTATGGTTAATGGTTAGAAGAAATAAATGTGCTAGACATCAAAGGTCATATATAGCACTATGGGTAATAAAGTATTGTGACAAAAAGGGTAGAAATGAGCTAATGATCAGGATAAGATGAATTAGATGTCAAAGGCTGTTGAACACTGTTGGATAGAATATTAGCAAAAAGGGTACAGAGGGGGAGCAAATGGAATACAGTGGGGATATGAAATAGGATGTGGTTAAAGGTATAGGGTGATCAGATCAAATGGAGAGTATGTGTCTGCAGAAGTGAGAGTAACACTGTATGAGAAATCTACAAAAGTCCTATTATGAACTAATCAAATGGTAATACAGTAAGAAACAATAGTTGTGGAAGTAGAAGAATCCTGAGAATGAAATAAGGGAACATGGGATGATGAAGTATTGAGAAGAGTGTCAGGAAGGGAGGGATCCACAGAAGAACATTATTTTGACTTAACCCATTGCCACTGGGGAAAATGAATAAAAAATGGGGAAAATGCTGCACTTATTTTTTATATTTTTTTGTGAAATGTCTCTAAACATATATGGCTCTGCCTTACCTGATTTCACCTTTCCTTGAATTGGGGGGAAAATGTGTTTTTCACTAGTGCTATGAATATCGATAGTGTTATTTATATTATAAACATTATAATTACTATAATGTTATAAACATTAGTAATAGCAAAATAAGATATCGTAAAATATTTTCCTAAATTATAGAAAAGGGTGAATGGGCGAGACAGGCAGTACTCATAATTGGCTCATTGCTGATTTAGTTCAAGTGTAGCCATCAATATGTAAAACAATTAAACAAGTAAACTCACAGTGGGCATGGCACAGTTGGAACTGCATGAAGTTCTTTACAGCTTCTTTGAGTGTTGCTTGGAAGGTGGATTTACTTCCTATCGCTGTCACTGTTTTTACACTTCTATAATTTAAAGTTTGGTAATTTATCACAATACCTACGTATGACTAATCACAATGATTTTAGTATCGATAGATTCCACTCACCCTCTAGTACACATAAATATAAGAATTATCAATCTTTCCCTGATAGCAGGGGAGGGCATGAAAGACACCAGGGAAATTGCAGGGTAAAATATGGGTTAATTGCTGGTTCGCAGTAATGAGTTACGCTTCACATTCGTTTTGATCTCGCGAGGTAAACATGGAAGGGGACTTAGAAAATGAAGGGTTGAGTTTCTCTCTTCTCTGTCCTATATCTCCCTTACTTTATATTTGCACAGTTTTTGCCATAGATGAAAAGTGTCTTAGTTTTCGTCAAGGTATCCATTCCATACACTTATTTTCTTGTACGATTGGTTGACATAGGCGGAAAGTTTTCCAAAATATGGATAACATACACAGAATCAGGCACTATATTGTCTGATGCAGGGGGCTTTGCCCCCTGTGACCCCCACATTGCCAACCCCAAACCCTCACCCAAGAAAAACAAAGAATCCTCCACTTACTCATGGCAACAGAAAGCACAGGATAGACTCAGCATCAGGCACTCCCAAGCCAGTCATGCATTCCACCCAGCTGCAAATGTGATTTCTTTTTCTAGACGAGGGTTGGGGGGCCAGAAGTCTCTCAAGAGGGGGTCACAGGGGGCACAGCCCCTGCATTATACTAGTGGCTAATTCTGTGTATATACTTTACCCTGCAATTTCCCTGGTACCATTTATGCCCTCCCCTGATATTGGGGCCAAGATTGTCGCTCATGGAGGGGGGGGGGTCCGCGGCATTATTTCGACACAATTGGACAGCAGAGAGCGAGAGGAATTCAGCGACACCAAAACTGTCGCGACCGGGTCTGCGAAGGCAGTCTGAAAATTACCTGGGGTTCCATAGTCCATTCGCTCGGGCGTCCCAGGACTCTCTCCGGGGAGGCTCTATTGCCCATGTATTCACTGAACACTAAACCGGCCTAGATGTTTGCTCTGTGAGGGTTCAAACGGAAGTCCTCACGGTACATCTCAAAGCTCTCTGTCGAGGCCTCCGCGGATTCAAAACAAGCGTTCTTGAAAAGCGTTCGTGTAGCTTAAGCGTCAATTTGGTCAACAGGTTAGAAAAGCAAATTATATTAAATGATGACATTTCTTGTAATGGTGATAAGATTAAATAAATTGTTTGTACTCTTAACTATATATATGATAAGAGAAGAGGAATCCTCCACATTTCCTATACGACAACCCACCCCCATAAACAGGAAAAAGTAAATGAATAATAAGTACATAATGAAAAATGAATTACTCTCCCCCCCCAAAAAAAATATATACATTTCTATTTTTTGGTTTATACACACACACACACACACTCACACACACACACACACACACACACATATACATATATGTATATATATTCATATATATACATGTACATATGCATGTGTGTATACATACATACATACATACATACATACATACATACATATATATATATATATATATATATATATATATATATATATATATATATGTGTGTGTGTGTGTGTGTGTGTGTGTGTGTGTGTGTGTGTGTGTGTGTGTGTGTGTGTGTGTGTGTGTGTGTGTGTGTTACGCTGGCTTGGCCCTAACAACAATCTTAGTATTACTTTAATCATAGGTTATTTCTTTTATCGTTGAAACTTCTTATTAGTATGACAACATTCTACCCCAGTACTCATGACTAAACCTAGAAAACCTTAAGATGAATTAAATTTATTATTTTTTTACACATATGTCATCATTACTAATATCCTAATTCAAATATATCATTACTGCCAAAGAGCCTAATGTTTTTTTTTTTTTCTTTCTTTTAACAGATATTGTATTTCTCGCGTCTATGTACTTTAAGTGCTTTCACTGGTGTATGTGTAGTTTCTTTTTGTTTCGTCTACCACTGTCTTTATCCCAACACCCCGTATCTCCGTGGTGCTGTTCTCTTCTTGTTCAGTGTCTATAATGTAGGAATGACAAAGTGGGATTATCTGAAACAGTGTGCAAAAAGAACTTACAAATTTATTTCGTAAAAATACTTACAAATGGACTATAGTTCCTTGGGCCGTTGTCCACTAACTTCATGGGAAAGACGAACTAAAATCTACAGTGAACTCCACACTAATATTAGAGATAATCTTAAACCTCTTTTTATTTTTTCGTTTTATTACGCACTTCTTCTTCTTCTGATCGAGTTCCTGGAGTAAACGCTGATTCACCTTCACTCACTGATGCTCCGAGCTGAACTGCCTCCACGAAGGGCAGACCCGGAGATGCCAGGTCACCTAGACAAGGGCCTGGTTGTTCGGGGGTATGGATGCTGAGGTGACAGTTTCAGGAGGCGAGTTGGTATTTTGGCCCTTATCTCGAGTTAAAGTAACCACCAAAATCGCCCACAAGTACTGGATCCCTAACATAAACATAACTTCTACAACTACAGCCTCACTACCACCATAATATATTTTGTGGTCTTATTCCCTTAGATTTTCTTATTATTATAAGTAACTATGGGTTACATTTTATCGACTAATGCATTAACTATAGCATAACTAGAGTGTCACTACTTCTGGCCGATGATATATATATATATATATATATATATATATATATATATATATGTATGTATGTATGTATGTATGTATACATAAATATATATATATATATATATATATATATATATATATATATATATATATATATATATATGTGTGTGTGTGTGTGTGTGTGTGTGTGTGTGTGTGTGTGTGTGTGCATGGTAGAAAAAGACACAGTGCACAAACTAGATTTATTAATAACGAGAGAACAGTTTCGAAATCCACCTGGATTCTGTTTTCAGGTATGAAAAGGAAAGAGAGAGGAGAGAGGTATAAAAGAGGGAAAAGAGCGGCAACGAGGTAACGTGGTAACATATACACACGCACACACACACACACACACACATATGTGTCTATATATATATATATATATATATATATATATATATATATATATATATATATATATATATATATATATATATACATATTTATCTATATGTCTATATATATGTTAATGTACACGATGCGGTCTGAGAGAGAGCTTGAGCCGATGCTGAGGGCAGAGATACTTCGGCTCTCTAAGTTTTTGAGGGGTTCACAAAATATTCACTAAACATAGGAATATGGCAACATTGTTCTTTCGTGGGAAATGCCAGTACAGACTGTCTGTTTTATAGCAGTGTAAGGGTCCTGTGGTCACAGGTCTGGTCGGGGACACTGGATATGTCAATAAAATTAAATCGTGAACATTAGATAACTACAATATCGTCAATAATAAGCATTACAGACATAGTGACTGAGAATAAGGATTTTTTAAGAAACATTTTGAGTATAATCAAGATATAAGTTCACTTGTAGTTATAAAGTATTCGACGGTAAGGGTCGGAATCGCTTGCTCTGGGGGCACTGGGCGCAGGTCAAACTTGGCACAGGCAATGACCAGTAGAGTGCCGGGTACCGTGGGAAGTCGAGGGTGAAGGTCATTAAAGAGAGGGAGAGAGAGAGAGGAAGACAGAGAAAGAAAGAGAGAGGGGGGTGAGTAAAAGACAAAGAAAAGGGAAATAAGAAATGAGAAGAGAGGAGAAGAGAAGAGAGAGAGTGAGAGAATAAGCGTGTGAAAGAGAGACAGTAAGAGAGAGAGATCAGAAATGAGAAGAGAAGAGAATGTAGAAAATTAATTTCATATATGCTAGAGGTATGCCATCAAAGAGAGAGAGCGAGAGAGAGAGAGAGAGAGAGAGAGAGAGAGAGAGAGAGAGAGAGAGAGAGAGAGAGAGAGAGAGAGAGAGAGAGACAGACAGACAGACAGACAGACAGACAGACAGACAGAGCGACAGACAGACACATACAGAGAGTGACAGACAGACAGAGAGAGCGACAGACAGACAGAGAGAGCGACAAACAGACAGAAAGAGAGAAAGAGCGATTCTAGTAACCTGTGTTCGCGATCTCTCTCGTCTCACATACCAGAAAAGCCATGTGTTCTTATCTCACAGTAATCCCACTGTCCTCAGCCGACTCCAACAGGTCTACATCCGTGACGATGACGAAGTGACCTTAGAACACACTAATTCAACTCATATTGCTCGTGAACAATTTTCATGCTATTATTCTGTTGTCTATGTGTATAACTATGTCTTGTTTATACTCAAAATGGTCGTTAGAAAATGCTTATTCTGAATCACTAAGTATATTACCGCTGTCATTATCGATATTAAGATTATTTATGTTTTATGAATACTCAGCATTTTTGTCTCCTTATCACGAAGGCAGGTCGCTCCGCTTTTCCTTGAGCGCCCCTGCTTTGCCTGTCCTCTGTATCCCACCTACCATACTCCCGAGCAAATAAACTATAAAACTCTGACAACTTTCACTACAAGTACCAAACCACCACCATACAGAGAGAGGGACACTTCTGCCACAATGTATTACAAAGAGAAGAGAAGAGAGAGAGAGAGAGAGAGACTAAGTGTGTGAAAGAGAGACAGAGGATGGCAGAGAGAATCCTTTGATTTACTCGATAAAGTTGGATAGAGAGATAAGAAATGAGAGGAGAAGAGAATAGAGGAGAAGAAAGGAGAGAGAGAGAGAGAGAGAGAGAGAGAGAGAGAGAGAGAGAGAGAGAGAGAGAGAGAGAGAGAGAGAGAGAGAGAGAGAGCATGAATGAGATGAGAAGAGAGAAAGAGAGAGGTAGATAAATTGCGAAAGAAAGAATGAGAGTGATCGCATGAGAGAGAAGAGAAAGGGAGAGAAACAAAGATGGATATATAAATAAATAGATAAAGAGCATGAGCTATAATTCCAGCTCCTCCTAACCTGAATTAGGTAGAGAGCATATGCTATAACTTCAGCCTTTCCTAATTTGCCTTTCTTCTTCTTACGGCGCAAATCACCAAGAGCGCCTCCTTTCCAAAGTAAAGAAAGACATTGTTTGAATTTCATTACTAATTATTAATATTTATTGATCCTAAACTTACTCTCCATGATATCATCTGAATTAAAACAACCATGCTCCATTCCCTACCCATTTTTTTTCAAACTCTATATAGAGTCAATTAAGAACATTTTCGCATTTGACAAAATTGCATATCAATTTCACAATAGACATGTCGGGTTGTTGCTCTTTTAAAATCTGGGAGGGAGAACTCGAGATACATTTACGACCTTCACACTTTTTGGCGGGAAAGTCACGGGCTGCTGTCCGATTACCTCATTAAGATTCATGGGAATAAATAATTGATATGCAACGCGCATAATTACCGCATTCTGTTTAAGTCGTTTCGCTTACTGACATTATTTCATATTTACGGATATTATTTCGTATTTATATATAATGTGATCTGATGAACAGGGACTCATAAATCAATATATTTTGAACAGGCTGAATGAATGTATGCAATGGAAAGGGACGCAGCTGTCCACTAACCTCTTTTGCGCGGGCTGTGTATTTTTTGCTGGCTTTGCTTGGAATTACAGAATCATGATGTTAAACAACCTTTCAAGTAAGTCGTGAAATATTCCTCCGTATATAGAATTGAAGACAGATTCAGAGCAGATAAGATTAATAAGATAAATTAGGATGAAAACGGACAGAATTTTTTGTTCATTCTTGCGCGATCACTAATATTACTTTTTAATTATTATTAATGGCCTCAACTTTGTTACGTAAATCTGAGTATTTTCAAAACAAGAGAGTGGGTACTTGTCATTTACGAATAATAATACCAAAGGGAATTTGTTAGGAAATTACATAGGAAATCACCAAATTTATGACACTTGTTCGTTTTTAAGATTATATGTAATTTTTTGTACATTGTCACGCATGAACTTACGCACACAAGTATACAAGCAAGCACAGAAGCCCTCTCGCTCTCGCTCTCTCTCTCTCTCTCTCTCTCTCTCTCTCTCTCTCTCTATCTCCCTCTCTTCTCTCTCCTTTACAAGTATTTATGTATTTGGAAATACGACTGCACAAACCAGCTGAAGGTTAACCTAATAGCAAAA